AAAGAAAGAAAGAAAGAAAGAAAGAAAGAAAGAAAGAAAGAAAGAAAGAAAGAAAGAAAGAAAGAAAGAAAGAAAGAAAGAAAGAAAGAAAGAAAGAAATAACAGAGCTAGACTATGCAGCAATACAATAAGGTGGTAGGATACATATAGAGACAGTCTCTGGTCACCAGGTATCATCTTTCATGCAACATTAATGCAGTTGGTATTTCTGGATTCTACTATGAATTCATTTTCTTCATTTATTGAGTCTCTTGATGTGGGAAACAGAAACAGGACATATGAATGAGTTGCAGGCAGCCTGGCTTGGCAGTGTGCTACTGAATACCTGTGTGCAAAAGGTACTAAGCCTGTTGATTTCTTTGAAGATGCTGAGTGGGATTATTCCCTTCATCTACAACACAGGAAATCCTGGCTTTATGAAGCTCAAACGGGACAAAGAGTGTATCCTTAAGATCTCTTAACTTATATTAATGGCCCCTCTGAACACACTGGGGCATGTTTTTGTACACAGGTAATCCAAGAAAGAAAGCTTTCCTAGAGTAGGATTGTTGCAAAGAAACCCAGAAGGCTTGTTTTCTTCTGAGGTGCCTTTTGGGGCCTTACACTGGTTGACATTAATTCCCCCCCTCCCCAAAGTTGCCTCTGTTTGGATTCTGCTTGGTTTGCAATAGCCCAGGTGAGAAAGGCTAGAAGCAGCCATGGGAAGGCAGGGGACCATTGATTACTGTCTGTTCACCCACCTACGCCATAGAATTAAGGAGAAACTCATACTTTTCTCCATTGGTTGATTTGCTGGGAATCTCCCCAGGAAATAATGGGATTTTGCATTAGGTATCTAATCAGTCACCATCATCCTGGGAAGCTCTTGGACTGAACCTTTGAATTGGCCAATCCACAGCCACAGGGGAAAAAATAAATGAGTCACAAAGCAGGATTGCCACTTCTAGTTGGTCACAGAATTCCTGATAAGATCTCACAAGACCTTATCCAGATGACTTCTTTTGCCTTTTAGCAGATTGGCTTTCACTGAACTATTCAATCAACCCAATAATTCCTCCATTACCAGATCTTAGATCCTTTGTTTGAAAGGAAATGCAACTACCTTTAAATTCAATTCTTGCTTGTTGTTTTGCTGTTTTTTTTAATTTAACAGGCATTCTTTTCCTAGCAGTATTTTATATAATTGTCATTATCCACTGAGCCTATTGCTTGGTTCTATACATGATCTTAGTTAGCTCATTTTGTATCCCACTGACTATCTGGCACCAAGATCAACGGTTTTAGTGCTCAAGAAGTGAATTTTAACCTAATTTGGGGGTGGGGTGAGGCTCTGATAATGGCTTAACTTCTATTTGATCTTCCTGTTGTCCCTGTGATGAAACAGAAAACCTTTCTGGCTTTTTCTGGATAATACAATTCTTCAATATACCCACAGAGGCTTGAGACAATTAGCCTTGCATAAATTTGGGTTAGTTATTAGGGCTGTGCAGTACTTTAGGTTCAAAGACAAAAAGGTGCTTTGAAGCATGTGGGGTGTGCTCATCTGGTGTGAGAAGTAAGCTGAGTGGCTGCACTTCTCAGGCCCAAGTTGGCAGCAATATAAGCATAAAGCAAGTGTTTGGCTTCAAGGCCACCAAACACCATGAATGGAGTCCATTAATTCATGGGAAGGGCAGTAAGATTGAAGTACTGGTTTGAACTCCATGGGCACAGGAGACATCTGCACACTTCCACAGGCAAGGAGCAATCAACCATTCCCTTTGTCTTGATTCTGGTTTGTCATGAAAGATTCTTAAAAACAAACCATGTCTGTAAGACATCTGCCAAGTCCTCACCTAGGAAACAACTTTTGTCATGTAAAGCAGGGTTCCTCAACCTCTGCAACTTTAAGATGGGTGGACTTCAACTCCCAGAATTCCCCAGCCATCTTAAAGTTGCGGAGGTTGAGGAACTCTGAAGTAAAGGCAGGAAGTCCATGATTCTCTGCCAAGCCCTGGTTGGGGAAGTCTGAGAGATATCACCTCTCTGTAACATTTGAAAGCAGCAACATTTTTTTCTCAGGAACATATGGCTTCCTTCTGTAGGACAACCTGGGAAAAAGTTGTCTTTTGTTTGCAGACAAGTGCTGTGCATGCCCCCTGTGCACTCTGTAGAGCTTGTGTTTACAGTGTAGACCAGTGTTTCTGAACCTCAGCAACTTTAAAATGTATACGCTTCAACTCCCAGGATTCCCCTGACATCATGCTGGCTGGCGAATTCTGGGAGTTGAAGTCCACACATCCTAAAATTGGTGAAGTTCAGAAACACCGCCATAGGCAGTTAAAATGCATCAGAATCAAAATATATTTTTTAATATAGTACAACAGTTCCCAAAGGTTCTCCCCCCGACACGCAATGTTCCCATGGACCACCTGAAAATTGCCAGGGGTCTCAGCAAACCAACCTTTCTGTTGATCTGCTATATATCAAAGCCAATATAGAACTCATAGTTTAATAATCAAAGTTCTAGCTTTTTAATGCAATGAGTATGTCTGTTTTTGTGAGCAAAGCTCTGTGTAGTCAAGGGTAAAATAACAGGCTTTGTTCACTTATTCAAAACAACCTTGATCTTTGACATCAGAAGAGAATAAATCAAATATGGAATCAAGAAAACTAGTTTAGGAAGGAAAGGAGGAAGGAGGGAAAGAAGATTACTTTAAGGATTGCAAGAAGTGGGTAGAAAGAAAAACACAGATAGCATTGTCTTATTTATTTCTCTTAAACCACTCCATCTTCTTTTATCAAATATTTGCAGGCATAATGATGTAATTACTGAGCAAAGAATGTCTGAGACCAGTGTCACACTTAATATTCCCATTAATTTTAAATGGTAGTCCTTGGTACATATGTGTGGCAATTGGTGTCATATTTTAATTAGGCTTGCCCTACACCATCTGAAATTAATAATAGCTCGAATTACCAGTGTAAATTATGAATTAACATTGCTGCAGCATTAGGAAATAAATTAGCTCTGGACAGCTGTTTTCTGCCATTGGATGACAATGGCAGAGAGAATGTTTAAACATCTCCCACTACACACACACACACACACTAGTAACTGAGCTAGTAACACAGGAGGTAAAAATATCCTACCACAACTTTCCAAAGACACACAATGCCTTAAGGTGGTAGCTGAAATTCTGGCATTCCAACAGTTTCTTACAGCACCAAGTCTAGCACATCCCTCTGTGAAACAGAGGGCTGTGCCAACTAGGCCTCTTACAGAGAGAGTGGTGATGGATCCTCTAGTCTTTATTTTCATGAATCACTCTCCACAACTGATTTCTTGTCTCCCACAAGATGTTTATACAAATAAATCTTCAGATCAATCAAATGTCCCCACTAACTTCCCGAAAAATAGGAAGGATCCCAAATTACCTTTGTCATGCTCCCTCCTATACTGCAATGACAAACTGGTCCTACTGCAATGCTATTACATTTAAATCACTGTTGTTTAAATAATGACATCCCTTTTAACACACATTTGCCATGCTGAAATCTTCATTTCAAATAACGCAATAGGGCTAATTTATAGGACATGTTTATAATTGAGAGGCTTTCATCTCTTTTTCTCAAGGCTGCCAATATAAAGCTATGATTTCTTAAAACAATATCCATCAAAATTTTTAAAATTGTGACTTTGGAGTTATATCATGTAAACCCCCAAGCTTCCTCAAATGTGACTTGTCCTCTAGCTTACAAAAAATAAGATTAAGAGGCTTTCCGGGAGAAACTCACTTTGCTTCTTGGATAATTCTTTTAGAATTAGTTACTCAATTAACTTCTCAGTCTGTTCTTTCACAGGGAAATAATGAAACAGATGAATGGTTCCACTTAAGTCAGAAATAACTACTCCGCCCAGTAGTGCGCCATAGATAAACTCAGCACCAATTCTCAAAGGAATCTGAGGAAGAGAGATTCTCTGGGGCCTCTCCAATGACATCCTGGGGCTTCTAAAATTTATTTGAGGGTGGAGAGTTGCTGACACATATTAGGCAAAATAGTGTAACAAGAAACATCTTCTCTGTTCTGGATGCTTCCCCATCATTATCCAGTTTTAAATAAACCAATAACCCCATGAAATATGTATACATTAAAAAGGGATGTCAATGTTATCCTTAATTGGCTAGTCTTAATGTCAGCTTCAACACATTCCCCCCCCCCCTTGCTTTTTCCCACCCCTACTTCCCTCTCTTGTCCTCTGCATAAGGGTTTCTACCCACTTCTGACCAAATCCAAGTTTTCTGGCAGCTTAGGAAAAAGAAAATTGAAATATCCAGAGATGCGGCACAGTATTTATACAACGTCCTGAACCAGGGCAGATAAAACTTTTGCAGTTGCAGTTGCTCAACATGCTACGTTTAGTAGTGCTAAATTAAGGGGTTTTTATTTTTTCCTTCCTTTTTCTTCTGGCTTAGTGTATTATATGAACTCTTGATCAATGTATGAGTCAATACATTGTGTGAACTCATGTAAAGGGTTAATCCAATAACCAGTGATAAGCATGTTTTCTGAATGCAGTCACTGTGTGACAATAAATGGCATTTCTGGGGAGGCAGCAGTCCCCCTAATCAACTTTTTCTTTTGCTCCAAATGAGCAAAATATTTTGTCTCACATTCTCATTCAGTTGAATTTCTATTATCACC